ACCGAAGCTGTCAGTTCATACAAAAGCTTCACTTACGTTAGCTGTGCCCAGAGTTTCCAGATGCTTTCTGCCACTGTCTGGCGAAGGTTGTGTATCATGCTACTGTCCTTACTACGTGACTGATTTAATTTGATTAGTCACATACTGATTAACATCAGTACATTTGATGTGCACGTGCTCTGGAGATCAGAAGGTCAAGGATGACATGAATGTTTTTGTTTTATAACTGAAATGAATAACGATGTATTACTGATTTTGATGTGTGTAGACTGTGTTGTTTTCTATTTGCAAGTAAATAAAGCAATATCATATTGATCCATTTTATTTATTTAGATAATCTGAAAGACTTGGGCTGAAATGGTAGTTTAGGTTACAGAACTGAAAAAGTAAATGAGAAGATTTGCATGAGTTTGGAGATTGATTCAAAAGCAACTGAAAAAAAATCAGATAAACGGCCAAGAGCATTCTTTAGTATATCCTGTGAAAATATACATTTGTTCCTTTTTTTTTAAAAAAAAAAAAAAAACAACAAACATTTGAATATATCTCTTCTTTCTGGAGTTTTCTTACCCTCACAGTTTCTGTGAAGCTTAAATTAAAATACCAGACAAGATTCCAGCAATATCAACACAATTCTGTTAGTAAAGAAATGCCATTTTTGATGGAGGGGGAAGTACATTGATGGCTGAGCCAAAGACCAAGAAGTTACGTTTTACCCTCTTTCGCTAAGTAGCGTTTACTACTGAATGTTTGTCTTCAAAAGAGAAATCATTCTTTACAATGGAACAAAACAACATTACTTCTACTTAACCACGCTGTCCTTGAGGACTTCCCCTATACCTCTGGAAAAAACTGAGACAAAGCTTTATATCTGACTGCTTTCTGTAAAGTGGCATTACTTCTGCATGAATCTGCAAGAGGAGTGATCATTTAATTCAATGTATTGCGTTTTCCTTATTTTACAAGATATGCCTGAGATGGAAAACTAGAGAGAATTGGTTTGATCTCTTTTGTCAGAGCTTCCCCTAGTTATTTAATATTAGTTAAGTTAGAATAGAAATCAGTGTTTAGACATGGCCCAAATTATAGTATTTAATTTAAAAATGTGAATATACAACAAAACTGCAATGTTTTATTAGTTGAAGACTATGTTAAATAAAATTTTATCTTGGTATAAAAATAAATGAATACTCTTATTAAATTATAAGTACTGCTTTATTTGTAATCTCTCAAAGCAGTTATTTCTCATAAGCATTAGTGGTTGATATTTTTTATTAGATACCATATCATACTTTTCTCAGGTTTTTTTTTTCCCTACTGTGTATTTGCTAAACTTAACCAGCTTTCCAGTTATACAGAAAATCAAGGACATTTCTATGCAATAGGATAATTAGCTTTTCTTTGTGTATTTCTAATGAATGATTAAATTTGAAAGCATTGTCGATTTTATGCATTTCTCATTTTGAGATTGATGCTAAAATGAATATAGAGCATCTAGGAATTTTGAGGAAAACTAACTTTTGAAAATACTGTATTGTTGAATAGGTTATATCTGGGGGGAAGTATTCAAAATTGCTTAGACTTGATGCAGTGTGTTTGTATTATACTTCAGTAACATTTTTCTATATCATCAGGCCTTAATCACTTTCGCTGGGTAAAGTAAAATTGATTATTTTTTTTTTTTAACTTTGACAATTCCTGACATATGGCAAACATTTTTTAAAAAACCCAGTGAGGTAGTAGGAAAGTGTTTTCCAGTGCATAATTGCCATCAAGTTGTGAATAGTTGGTTTATCAATTAGAATATTTTTCTGGAAATTGGTAGTTAACCTGATAAGGGTCCCTTTCCCCATTAGTCCTTATCAGAGTCATGAGCAATTTTTAATACCTCTGCGAGTTCCTTAAACAGATAACTGTATCAGAATATGTTGATTTGGAATACAGAGGTCCTTGTGTAGTTCCTGTTCTTTACCCACTGATTAGAATAAAGTTCCTGTTGCATGTGTGTACGTAAAGCTCTAATTGGTCGCAGGGACTTTCTGGGTGGAAAGAGAAATGGAAAATGTGATGCTTATTTATGCCCGTACTCTTGAAAATCAGTCTTTCTTTCTCGAAGTAAAGCTAAAACAGCTTTATTTTTTTTTAATTTGTTCTTAAAGATATTTTAAATGGGGTTCTGTCAGAATGTAAATGGAACTTTATTCTGAAAAGTATGTGAATAAATCCAAATGCCTAGAACGAACTTTGCCTCATAAAGTACAGCTCCTTTCAAATTTCTTTGGCACTTTGATAAACGCATATCTTTATGTGTAACAGTGCCTGTAAATTTAAAATTAATATTTTCTGCTGAAAATAGTATGAGATTTAGCAGTTACTGGAAGTAAAATCAAATAATGCCCTTTTCTTAGAATAAATTTTCACTTCTTGCTTTATATTATGACTGTATCTAATACTGTTTCTTTTTCTTCTCATAGTAGGCTGTGCTGGAACAAAAATGCAATGAAAGAAACACTGGATGAATGAATGAAGAGCCCTGCTTTGCAATCCCTCAGCATGGCGGGACTGCAGCTCATGACCCCTGCTTCCTCCCCAATGGGTCCATTTTTTGGACTACCATGGCAACAAGAAGCAATTCATGATAACATTTACACGCCAAGAAAATATCAGGTACTAGTATTAATACTAATACAGTAATATCAGAAAAAAGTACTATTAAATCTATTAACTTAATAGAAGAAGAACCAGAGCAGCTGGAGAAAGTGCAGTGTTTGTTATATCCTCCATTCTCTCTTCTCAGTTTGTTCTAACAAGTGAACTTTTGTGCTGAGTGTTCTCTTGCTGCTCTCTGCAAAATGCTGTTGGGGACAAATATAGTAAATATTACACTGTGCATCTCAATTGTATGCATGCGGTAGTGTCTCCTTCCCCCTCTGACTGTCTTCTACATGGTAAATCTTGATTTTTGGTCCACATACTGGTCAAAGCAGCTCAGTAATATCAGAAAACCCATCAGGGCACTCTTATTTTAATTTTGTTAAGGAAACCTATTTCTGAGTTGTAGAACTTAATTTCTCTCTGCAATGCAGAAGCACCTGAAAGATAGCATTTGGTTGTTGTTACTGAAAATCTTAGATCACCTTGAGCTAATACGCCTGCTTATTTGGCTGAGTTGATGTGTACAGTTAGATTTAAAAGCTCGAGCTTCTTTCTTCACACAATAGATCTAGCAGCAGAGTCATCTATTAAAAAGATATAGTTAGAAAGCTACTTAAAATAGCAGCAAATTGTGGTACTAGAAGGTTTTAGTGTAGGTGATGGGCTGTATATAGTGTGTATTAGTGGTTTGTTTTTTTTTTTTAAAGACTGTGACAATACATTGTTATGAAAGAGACGTATTCTGTGGCACTGGAAAGATCTCTGGGGATAATACTGACTTGTTTGTAGTTTGCTTACCACTTGTGTTATTTTTTTGTCAGCTTTTTCACTGCATTGCTGCGAGTAAGGACATTATTATTTTTTAAACCTAGGTTGAACTGCTTGAAGCAGCTTTGGATCATAATACAATAGTCTGCTTAAACACTGGCTCAGGGAAGACTTTTATTGCAGTACTACTCACTAAAGAGCTGTCCTATCAGATCAGGGGAGATTTCATTAAAAATGGAAAAAGAACTGTATTCTTGGTCAACTCAGGTAAGATGAAAAGTATACTAAGTTCCTAAACAAGCTGCTGATATTTTCATGGAATATTCCTTAATAGAAGCTGTGTGAAAGCAAAGTTGGGAGAAACTTTTGCATAAAGTCTTCAACAGCAAGGACGCTAAACTCATTAAAGAATGTGATACTTTTCATCTTTTGCTTATAATCCAACCTGTTTATGACATCTTATGTTTCCTGGTTTAAAATCAAGACATTGAATCTGAAGTGCAGTTCAGTTACCAATCTGTTTCCTTGCTGTGGTTTTACATGGAGGCAGTTGCTGTGTACACGTGATGCAACATTAGTCTAAGCTAGAGATCATGTGATGAAACATGGTGCCAGGTAATGTGACATGCATCTTGAAAATTAATATATGAAGTGACCTTTGTGATTGATATTTTTGTCTTTTTTCATAGCAAATCAAGTTGCTCAACAAGTGTCAGCTGTCAGGACTCATTCAGATCTTAAAGTGGGAGAGTATTCAAGTTTAGAGATAACTGAATCATGGACAAAAGAGAAGTGGAGTCAGGAGTTCTCTAAGCATCAGGTGATGTATTAAGTATAAACTATAAGTATAAGCACTATCTACAGTAAGTTAGGCTTGATCAGAAGTGATAATTTCTTCCAATTATACCTTTTTTCCTAACAGAAATTCAGCATATTAGTATTATTTTTATGTGAATTTTGAGGAGAAGCGTGTAGGGCTTCTCAGGTTGTTTTTAAGAAGCTGTCCTTTTAATCCTTTGTTTCCAGTCTCTGTGACTTTTGGTTCATGGTGATGATTGCAGAAGAAATTTTGAGTGTGCATAGTGTACTTAAATGCCATTTAAAGATGTTTAAATATTAGGTAATAAAAAAGATGGTAAAACTGAATGTTCTCTGGGGGTGCAGCACATTCTCTTTGATGTGCATTTGATATCTGCCTTTATGGGTATACAGTTTCTGTATAGTTTTCTTAGATGGAAAATCATTAACTTTAATGGTAACATTTTCCTTGGTGGTTCTTGGACCCTTTCTGTTATAAACTTTTTTCCCATGCTGAACTAAGTATCTTGCAGTAATGCAAATATTTGTAATTTCTGGGGTTTTCTCTCCAGCATCTAGTAGTGGCCTATGAAATATACTTGAGGAACTCTGACAAGTAAAAGAGTCATTATATGTAGTGGAGTTCAAAGTTAGCACAAAAATAGTGCATAATTTTATCAAGACGCTCAACTTTTTGTCTGTGATAATGTACAAGAAATGAGTTTTCCTTTAAAAAGAATTGTGGTAACATCCTGCTCTTCCATTACAGCTGCAGGTGGTTATGAGTTTATGAAGAATTATCTTTCTTGCCAGAGACATGATGATGGGACACATAAGGAACATTAACTTGTTACGGGTTTAATGTTCTGTGTTTGTTCTGCGTAGTCTGGCTGGTGTTGATATCATCTGCTTGTTGTATTCTTTTTTTTTTTTTCCTAGGCACGTGACTAGAGATATATATAAAACCTTCAGACAGATTACTTTCTCAAGTAGAGAATGTTTTATTCTCTTTTGTCCTTACCTGGGGTATGTAGATGAGTAGGAGCTGATATTTGCTAATACTGTCTAGCAAGACCTGAAGAAGTCTTTCCTACTTCACCTTGACCTAAGACTGCTTGCACTTTCCTTATACTGACACTTTTTTTTTCTTTTCAATCTAGGTTCTGGTTATGACATGTCATGTTGCTTTGACAGTTTTGAGAAATGAATATTTATCCCTGTCAAATATTAATCTTCTGGTGTTTGATGAGTGCCATCTTGCAATCCAGGATCACCCATACCGTGAAATTATGAAGGTGGGTTTCAGTTGCATGAATGTTCTAATACTTGCCTGAGGAGGAGGAGTCAGGTGGGAGGGCTGGAGAAGGGGGAACTATTTAAAGCAGCTTTTGCTACCAAGGAAAAATATCAGTGAAACTGTAACATGTTCTGGGACTATGAAATTACTGTAATGAATTAAAACTTCAGTGATGATATAAAAAAATAGTGTATGTACTGTATTTTACAGTGGAGGTTAAAGAAAAATCTAACATTAAAAGAGAAGAGAAGCTAAATTTAGGGGAGTTTTGTAGGTTCACTGATAAAATATTTGAGTTTTGGAATGGGATGCACTAATCAGTTTTTATTGTTTTTAAAATACTGATTTCTAAAGATGTTTGTAGCACTCTTGGGATATTCTTGGCTCCATGTGGTATTGATATTTTAGTTTTTGCATGATGTGGAAGTATTATGTGTGTGTTTGTAAATGTGGCAAGGATATTCTGTGCAATGCTAATTGTTTATTTCTTTATATTTTTCCACATTGTAAATATTCACCTTTAAAGATGGTTGCTGTATAATGTAATTCAGTTCCTAGTTTGACTTGCCGTCAATAGAGTAGAAAATATTCATTCAACATTTGGTTCCTTTTTCCAACATCTACTATTGAAATACTAGTTTCCAACTGAGCATCTGAGTTTGCAGTCTGCTAGCTTGATGGTAGATTTGCAATAACTAAGGTATTTCATTATGTTTTACTTCACAGATCTGTGAGGATTATCCATCATGTCCTCGAATCTTGGGATTAACAGCTTCCATTTTAAATGGGAAATGTGATCCAGCTGAGTTAGAGGAGAAGATCCAGAAACTGGAGAAAATTTTAAAGAGCAATGCTGAAACTGCAACTGATTTGGTGGTCTTGGACAGGTATGTTGTACAATTATGGCTGTTAAACCAATGCCTGCATTTTCATTTTGGATAGAGGAACAAACTGGCAGAAATATTGGCTCTTTTAAATTTTAGCAAAGTTTGTGTGTGTGTGATGCCATTACTTCCATTTGAAGTGGGGAAGGAATGTTAAATTGCTTTTAGAGCAACCAGTGTTGAAGTACGTGTTTCCTTAAAGTTAGGTCAAAGGCTGATTTGCCTTGATATTCAGAGATTTTCTGTTGTTGTTTAAAAAACCAAAATAAACCAACAAAACAACTAAAAAACCCCAAAACCCAAGTGAACCAAAAACCCAACCAACAGAAAAAACAAAGCAAACCAAAACCAACACACTACCAACCTAAAAAATTCACATTATTCGACACGTTTCTGAACTTGTAAAATGCACTGTCTAATGTTGGGAGAGTAACTGGTTCATGTTCAATGTATGCCATAATGATGCTATTTGATTTAGAAAAATGTTGCAACATCCGCAGTACAAGATGTTCTTAATGCTAGAAAAGTTGCATGATTTTTTTTTTTTCCTTCAGATAGTCTGGGTTTAGAGACTAATGAAAGACAGAGGGAGATGTGAGGAAGCAGTAGAAACAATATTGAAGTAGCAGAGCAAGTGTTTTCCTCTTGTGTTCTTACCAAATGTAGAATCCTGTGAATGATGATTTGTTGTAGAGGAGAATTAGTGTGACACGATTCATATGTAGCATGTTTTTCTTGCACCAGCTGCACTGTGTTGTGTGAACTGAATTTCAAAGTCAGATATGGTTATTTCATGTTCTGGAACAGATGTTTTGTGGGTGTATTTTTTGAATGCATTTTTCTGAACTTGTGTGAACCATCTGCTTTTAAGAATTTCTCACTCATAGCTCTGCTGTTTAAGAAGGGTAATTACTTGTGTAAGTGTGTTTAGGTAGACCTGATTGACATTATGTTGATTGTATGTTTGGCATACTAAGAGTACACTCTAGAAAACCAGAAGTGAAGGTGGTGGTCAAGTAAATCCAATCTACTTTGCTTAAGATTTCCTTGAATTTGACATTAAGATAGTGATACTATTCTCTTTCTTTAGGGACTGTATTAGAAAGACTAGTATTTTAGAATGAAGTGTGTGGGGTGGTGGAGGTTTGTTTTTTTTTTTTACTTGAAGTATTTAACTGTGTAACTATTCATCATTATTAATTCATGGTGGGGAAAGAAATGTACTTGAATACATTTCATGTTGCTGCTATTTACTGTATAACCTTAACAGGCTGAAATAGCTCTGACTTTCAGAAGTTGTGTTTAACTTGGTCTTTGCCCTCAATTAAGATATACTTCTCAGCCATGTGAGATTGTTGTAGACTGTGGACCATATACTGACAAAAGTGGGTTGTATGGAAGATTACTAAAGGAACTGGATGAAGTGCTTACTTTTCTAAATGACTGCAACATATCTGTACATTCAAAAGAAAGAGATTCTACCTTAATTTCGAAGCAGGTAAGGACATTAAGCTATGTGAAAAACCTGGGGAATAGAAATCTTACTACTGTTTTTCTTTGCCATGTATGTTACATTACTGAACCTTTCTAAGCTAGCCATCCTAGATTGTCTGAGCAAAAAGACTTCTTTCATAAATGAGTGAGGCTAGAATGTCAACCATTGAGTAGAACTTCATCTAGTTTGAGATTCAAATTTGCTTAAGGCAGTAAATTCTGCAACCTAATGTGGGTCGTTATTTCTGAAGTCAGGAATTTGATGTCTTTGTGATCTCCTGTGACCTTTGAATAATTCAGTACAGAAGTAGTAATGCCTCAGGAAGTATTTGGAAAAACTGTACCCAGGTGTATAAAAAGATGATAAAGTAAGAATTCAGGCAAAAATTCCAGCCATAGATCTATAATTTCTGTAATTTATTTTAGAACAATATTGGACTAATGCCACACCTTGCTGAAATGGAGTTTGAACCTCAAGCTTATCCCTAACTTTCTATGTGTTTGCCCTTATATTGTCATGCGAGACGGCAGAGTAGAGCCCGGAAGGCATGGTGTATTGAGCAGGGACCTGTCACACGTGAGGTCCAGGCAGCTGCTTTTCCCTCTTGGGCTTTGTGGTTTGGAGTTGCCCCCTGAGGTACAACTATGTAGGTATGTAAGAAAGAAGTCAGTAATGAGTCACATTTCTATAATATTCCGTGAGGAAGTTGGAGAACGTATTTCTTTGTTCAACGCGAAGCATTCCAGTTTCTGTTAACATTCACAGAAACAAGGCACTCTGACGCTGTCCAGAAAGAGCTAATTTGGGACAGAGGGAAGGATGATACATTAGGCAGCCTATCACAGCTGCATGGTAAAAGAAAGTCCTGGTTACTTCTGTGCTAAACTTAAAATATAATAGGCTAAAATATATAAGGAATGCTGGCAGGTGGGGGCAATCCCAGGATTTGCACAGTCCAGAAGAGTAGATTAGCTGCTATGCTTCTTATGCACATAACCCTCTGTGCTTGTTTTCTGATCCAGTAGCTCTCTAAGAAGACGGAGGCACTTGTATTAAGAAAAACAAATCAGTTTTCAGCCTGAGGTGTCTTTTGTCTTGGCACTGGAAAGCATCAAGCCGCTATGTGCAGTTAAAATTAGTTTAGATAAATTTTGCCCTTAAGTCTTGCAGCTAACTTAAGGGAGTAAAGCAGCAACTGAAAACTGAAAAATCATCCTGACTGTTGTTACAGTTCTAATGTAGTTCTTCTGTTGTAATAGTACATCTAAACCCTGAGTCTCTTTAATAGTGTTATCAATGTACCCCACTTCTGTGTTCCTATTTTATGGTTTGACCACTTGACTTTTCAGGAGGAATCAACTTGCCATCAGATAAGATGTTGATGGTACTCCCTGAGTAGGGTATATTTGTCTCTGTTCTTTCTATTCCACGCATAGAAACCCCTCATTTTTTTTCCTTTGAGAGGTTAGACTTGCTAAGATTACTTTAAGGCCACTGTACAACTTTCTGGTTAGTTACTTTTGAAACCATGGCAAGTAATCAGTAACAAATACAGTAAAAATGCCCAGTAAAACATTTATTTTATTAGTTCTATGTTAAATATAAAGGATGATAGTTTCTGCATTATCTAGCTGCCTCAGGTAGTATTCTCCTTTTTAGCATAATTATCTTAAGGTCACTTCAAATTACAATTCCACAAAATTGTAAAATACTTTTTTTTTTTAGTGTCTTTTTTTGAGTTTCACAAATGTACAAATACTTTTTTTTTTAGTGTCTTTTTTTGAGTTTCAGAAATGTACAAAGTTCAAAATGTAGTTGTAGTAATTTGGGGGGCGGGGGGAAACTTGCTCCGTTAGCAACACCAAAGTTCCCAAGGTCATCTAAATAACAGAAGCAGACTTCTAAATATGTTTATAATAGAACAATTGTCATAATCCTTGCAAAGATTGTGCTACATGAGAAACAAGATCCCAGTCTTAAATGAATAGTTCGTGAATGTACTCTTTGAACTGATATTTGAATTCATGTGTTGTAGATATTGTCAGACTGTCGAGCTGTGTTGGTTGTTCTGGGACCCTGGTGTGCAGATAAGGTAGCTGGGATGATGGTGAGAGAGCTACAGAAGTATATCAAACACGAACAAGAGGAGCTGCACAGGAAATTTTTATTGTTTACAGACACTTTCCTAAGGAAAATACATGCACTCTGTGAAGAGCACTTCTCGCCTGCCTCACTTGACCTGAAATTTGTAACCCCAAAAGTAATAAAGCTGCTTGAAATCTTGCGCAAATATAAACCATACGAACGGCAGCAGTTTGAAAGTGTTGAATGGTATAACAATAGGAATCAGGATAATTACGTATCTTGGAGTGATTCTGAAGATGATGATGAGGATGAAGAAATTGAGGAGAAAGAGAAGCCAGAGACTAATTTCCCATCTCCCTTTACTAATATTTTATGTGGAATTATTTTTGTGGAAAGAAGATACACAGCAGTTGTTCTAAATAGGTAAAGCTTTTTATTTAAAAAAAAAAAAAAAAAAAAAAAAGAAAGGCAGACTCAGCTGCCAGCACATGGATGTTAATATCGTGAATATGTAGGGGATTGTCTTCTATATTCAGAATCTGTTTTAAAGTTGGTTTAGGAGATCATGCTGGATCTGTGTGAAGAATAACAAAAAAAAACAAATTCAGGCTGTGTGTATACGGGGTGGTGGGAAGAGCATGTGTCTTTTAAAATTGTACTCAAGGGCTTGTTTTGGACCCAAGTTTGTAATTTGATTCCTTTAGAAAGCAAAATGTGAAATACTGTACTTCACCTGTAAAGTAGCCATATACTGATTTGTCTTAATCAGTCTTCAGATTTGCAATAGATGCTGGAAACTTCTCTAACCTTCTGAGTGCAGTACTTATGGAAAGTTTACCATTACCTTACTAAATCACGTTATTAGATGATCCAAGTCTAGGGAAAATCAAATTTGCCCTTGCACAAATGTTTCTTTAAGATTTACCAGTACTATTTAACAGTTGGTGTTTATAAAACACCCATTCAGTGAAACACTAAGCTTACAGTCTGTAACAAGAAAAATGAGCCCTGGTATATTTGCCAAGATATACTATGCAATACGCTATCCTTATCAATTTCTTAGCAGTTCTTACTCCTGAATGTGATCCGTGTTAGTTGTACATAACACTTAATTATTAAATGCTATTTGTGATAAACCATAAATGACATCTGATTTATTCACCTATCTTGATTTTGGGGTTTTGGTAGAGTTTTTTGATAGTGTGCTAAATGTCCTGTGCAATTTGTTAATTGTGTTCCGGGTACCTATGAATCTGACCCTTCTGTTATTACGTTTTTGCATGAGTCAGTGGTATGAGTGCCTAATACATTCTTTGGTCTATAGACTTGCCTATGAACTTCATCTTTTTTCTTTGCCTTTTTTGCATTTTTAAATATGTTTACATAAATATGCATTATGAGGCAAACTAAGCCATTCAGTGAAATGAGCAACAGATTCTGATAAGTTTTTGCTGAGCTGAAATGAGTATTTCCTTAGCCTACAGAGAATGAACAGAACTGTGAAATTTCTTCATTCTGTTATGAATGTGATTTAGATTATACTATTTTTTTCCACTTGTAGACTGATTTATGCACTATACTGTATTCTAACTGGTGTTGAACCTGACAGAATATGATGTCTAAATCAAATAGATAACCAAATTCTGCCATCTTTAAGCTTTAGGCACCTTTGGTACAAGTTATTGGCAGCAAAAAAACCCCACAAAAAACAAAAACCAAAAAAAACCCAAAAACCAACCAAACAAAAAACAACCAAACTATAGCTTTTTATCTACTTCTGAGTCCTAGCTAGCAGACTCCCAAAATGCTCCTTTACCTTGTGTAACGTACCTGGCCTCAAAATACCTGAATGATCAGCAGACCTGATAACTCAGAGTGGAGAACCTCGCTGTAGACTCACTTCAATGGAGTGGATTTAGTTCAAGGGCCTCTGCTGATTGTAGCTATGCTTATGCTGTACATATAGGTG